TATATAGGTATAATAATAAATTTAAATAGCTACTTTTATAACCGGTTTGATTCGATTTTTTTCGATTATTTTTTGATTAAAACTAAAATCAAACCAAATTTAATCGGTTTTTAAAATTTAAAATAAAAATCAAATCAAATCTAAAAAGTATCGATTTTTTTAGTCGATTTGGTTCAATTTTCGGGTTGATTCAGTTTTTCAGTTTTTGGTGAACCCGAATGGTTAAAAACCCGACTTTTTTAGCTAAACCTCTACGCCGCGTCGACAAACACAATCGTAGGCCTGAATCTGAAAACCTTTGGTTATCTCTGGAAAAAAAGATGGCATCGCCGTCCCGCGGGGAAGTCCTTACCCTTTTCCGTTCGCTTCTGAAGACGGCGCGTCAGTTCCCCGATTACAACATCCGGGAATACACTAAGCGCCGGACAATCGATGGATTTCGGCAGAACAAAGACCTCTCGGATCCCTCAAAGGTCGCAGCTGCTTTCTCCGAAGGTAGGGCCCAGCTCGAGGTCGCCAAGAGACAGGCCGTAGTTTACTCCCTCTACGCCCCCAAGGTCAAGAGCGTTATGGAATTGAACTAGTAATTTGATTTTCGTCATTTTAATCCCTTTTGATTAAACAATAGAATAATTTTATGAACGTTCAAGAGTTCAGCAGTGTTCGATGTGAATACCTTGAATTATGAATGGTAAGCCCTAGGGTTTTGTATTTTTATAGCATCTAATATCCAATGTGATGAAAGGCACTGCCTTATATTATCATTGTTCTTTTGTTGATACTCCTAAGTTTTATATTTGAAAGCATGAATTTTTCGGATAAAGGCTTAACCTTCTTCTGACTTGAATGATCTTGTTAGCTAAGCTAAATAAAGAGCAGCCCGGTGCACAAGGCATCCCTTGTTCTCACAGGGTCCACGAAGGGCCGCACCCTAAGGGGTGTGTCATAGACGGTCTACCATAATGCAAGCATTAATGACTGCTTCCACGGCTCAAACCTGTGACCTATAGGTCTCACGAAGACAACTTTGATACATAGATTAGAGGTTGTGGTTTTTATTTGCCTGGTGAATGGCTGGTTGATGGAATGTATGCCCTTATGACATTGTTGGCCGGCCATTTCTGTAGTTCTTTGGATTCCAGACCGTATGTGTATATGGATCTGGATAAGTTCTTTAGATTACTGGTTGTGTGACTGCGCGAGTACCTTGATTCAGATTTGACTGATGCTGCAGTGTTTGATGTATAAGCACTTTACAATTTAGCAGCATCTTTTGCAGAAGTTTGTGACTTTTGATATTGTGATTTATAGGGGAATAGGAATAGAAGCTTCAACAAACCATTGAGGGTAAATATGTTGTAGAAACTGTAACTTTATCACTAAGAAGTACTTGCTAATGTTGTTGAGCTAGGTATTTGGACCCATGAAGAATTGAACTGAAGTGAACTTAGTTTCATGTGGAGTTATCTTTCTGTCATAGGACTATATGTATCCTTAGTTAGATTAGAGAAGTTAGAAGAATATCAATTGAATACTTTCAAGAGCTTTGGGCAAGACCAAGGCCAAGAGAAGGTTATAATATATGTTTCTCAACCTGATAAAAAGAATCTCTTCTTAGTTCCATTTGTCATTCTCTCTTAATATTATGCTGACCAGGAAGTTAGGATTGGCCATCCTTCCTTTCTTCCTTTGTTTTTTCTTTTGGGGGTGAGTATACTTCCTTTTTACCGGTTCCTTCTCAAGCTTTCAGCTTTCAGCCTCCTGTATCCCTTTGTTAAGGGAACCACTGAAGGGAAGTCTAACTCTGAAAGCCTTTGCCTAGACTTAGCTCATCTTTTTCATGTTTTCTAATGGACCAAATGTGGCATAACTTCCCTCTTCTTTATCCAAATTTCACTGTTACTGCAGCATACAACAGCCATGAAGGCTTCCTTAAGACGTAACAGCTGAAAAGCTTACTTTGTTAGAACGAGAAATTCTTTATATGGAAGTTAATTTCTCTTGTCCAGCTTGCCCTGTTACTGGGAGTTCCTTCGCGTGTATCTTGTGTTGCATATTGGAAGCTGCGAGAGCTGATTCAAGTGGGATTCCTTTGAATCTAAAGGCATTTGATCTCGGAAAGCAACAAGAGGAAAACCCAGTTGTGCTCTTTAAAATTTAGCGTGTTCAGATTCTAGGGAATCTTTTGTTTTGTTTCTCCCCACATCCTAAGTACAGTTCAGCGACTGCTTTTTTAATGCTACTCGGCAAAATATGTTCGGAAACGAGTTTTTTTTTAGTATCATTTGGCAAAGTATCCTGTAATGTCAAAGGTTTTGATGGGTTCTATAGACAAATGAACTTTGTCTTTCCCAGAACAGATTGAAAAAATGGTAAAGAATGGTGCACGGAGTGTTTGTTGTCGGTCATTCGAGTAATTGCACCTGCTCTAAAGGTGTTGGTCATTCGAGTAATGGATTACGCCTCAGTTCTACGCTAGTTCAGTGTTTATATGAACCTTTTGTAATTACTCTGCTCTATATATTATTGTCATATAGCACGTGCCTAAGTGGGCATGTTCAAATGAATTCAGTGTGACTCATAATTAGATTACTTTTACATTTGTGTTAAATCTATGTAACCCTCTTCTCTTCTATCTATAGTAGTGTTCTAAATTTTTGCTAGCAAACATGAAAAACGAGAAACTAAAAAATCCAGAATTTCACCCTCAAAAAACTATTTTAGCTGTAGCACCCACGAAAAGAAAAAGGAACAAGAATATGCCATAGTGCGCACAATACTTCAGCGGCTTCAAGGTGAGTGATATTTGCCTTTTTCTTCAAGGTGAAATTCGGTTTGAGCAAATGAATTGGTGTGCGAAGAAAGTCATGTATCTTTCGAGATGCAGTGAATTGGTGTGAAAGATCTAAAAGTTTGTAATGCTAAAGTGAAGCTTTAAGATCGGAAGAGGAGAGTGTGCAGTAAAGGAGCTATTTGTACATCACGCCCCTTTACTATTTTGAATTTAAGAAAATGACCTTTTAAGATCTCTTAAGTGTAAAAGACAGATTTCATGTGTAAAAAAAGTAGGGTCATAAAACTAAAAACAAATTTGTAAAGAGCCAAAAAATCAATTCACCCGCACTAAAGTGGCAGACAATCAGTAAATTGTTTCTCCTGGCAATGAAGGAAGCTGGAAAGCAATCAGTGATATTTAAAAGCACCAGAAAGGGCCTCAATGACTAGAACGATTCTCAACAAGTTCTGTTCTCTAGCACCGGAAAGTGGTTAAAGATGGAAAAATATTACAGTAATTAAAGCAAGTTTTTGTCGGAAAATGAAGTAAATCTCAGCAGTTCTATCGCTAGCAACTCTCAAGTTGGATGCTAACACTGTCTAAACAATTGTTAAATGTGCTCAAGACTATTTCCCCAAAATGGTTAGTGCAATTTGTTGATCTGCATCCAGATTACCAGGAAATTGATTGATTAACTCGATCTGATGTCAACCGTGTACAAAAATTACAGAAGTAACAGATAAAGGAATTGGATTAATGAAAAAGAAAAAGAGGAAGGAAGATTAGTTTGTGAATGACTCTAGAGGAGTTGAAATAACAAAGTAATTAAAAAAAAGAGCATGTTAATATCTCGTGCTAATCCAGTAGGTCCAAAAGATAAATGCTGGTTACTTTCCAAGTAAGCGGCGGCCACGCTGGTTGGCACCTTTAACTCGGAAATTGAGCTCATCCACGTCATCTTGAAGATGATCCAGGGCTTTGTTCTGCCTGCAATATCCAACAGCATATGCAGAAATGTTCAGAAGTGATTAGAGAAATACACAGTACTACAATGATCATGAAAGTACATAAGAAGAAAAAAAGGGATGAAGGAAAGAGCAAGGAAGCTCATAGTCCTTAAAGAAAATTTCACAATCTTAAACACTAACCTCCCAATTTCAGATCCCATGTCAAGAGCCATATCTTTGAGCTCTCCCAACAGGTTACTGAGATCTGATAATGCGTCATCTTGCTTTGCCTTTTCAACCTGTCAAATTTTCAAAATGATTAGCGCTGTTTCGAATTTTCAACCTGTTTCGAGTGATTTCTCAATGCGAGAAAACACATAGGTGCTTCTAAAACAAGCCTCCTAGGCTGCCCGGTGCGACTCTTCTTAGGCTTCCCAGTCTTAGAAAACAAGCCATGCAGTTTTCACCATTCTAAGATAGAGAATGCATCATAAGAAGGGTCTTCACCGTTCTAAGATAGAGAATGCAAAACAAATGGATAGAAAAAAAGGGCAGCCCTGGTGCAAAGCATCTCGCGTTCACATAGGGTCAAGTGGAAGGCCACACCCAAGGGGTGTGATGTAGGCAGCCTACCTAACACAAGCGTTAGTGGCTCATTCCATGGTTCAAACCCGTAACCTATAGGTCAAATGGAGACAAATATACCGTTGCTCCAAGGCTCCCCTCTAAAACAAATGGATAGAAAGTTTAAATGGAGCACTACAACTTCAAGTTTAGAAAGTTCAGATGGAGACAAATATTGTGAAACTTCAACTTGTTAATGGAGCACAGTTAAGGAAAGAAACAGGAAAGCCTTCGCCACGAGTAGTTGACATATTGATCGCAACTCTTCACACCGTGATAAAACTAACTTGAGAGCAAGTTTATCTTCCTATCACGCAACAGGCTAGAGCCAATATCAATTCTCTGAAACATTGATATAAAGGAGTTCTTAATATCCATCTCTATTTTGTGCCAAGTAACACACATGTACCTCAATTTGCTGTAGTGCATTTGTAGGTTCTGGTGGTGGTGTTCGTGAACTTGAGCGTCCTTTAGGTGCCGAGCTCAACCCCAACTTCTCTCTCTGCTCCAGGTGGTTACCCTTTCTTTGAACTGGATCATCTGCCACAGTAACAGATAATCAGCAATCTTTCTCAATAGCCACAACCTCCCCACAGTTTATTAATGTTTTCTATATCTGAATGTCCAGTTAGTTAATTCTTTCCCTACTTATGAACACCAAAGCATATTAAATGAACAAGAACAAAATCAGATGAGTAACCTCTAGTAATTACTGGCCCTGTAATTGGGCGAGTCTTCTTAGGCTTCCAAGTCTTAGAAAACAAGCCTCCTAGACTGCCCAAGAGTTTTTCACCCTGCAATCAAATTTCAAGCTTTAGTTTCAAATTGATAACTACAGCAGCAAAAGGAAATAACAGATACAAAATATTCCATTTAAGGAATAGTAAGAAAGTATTCGGTAGTTATGGGGCAACGGTAGGTTAAGGACAGAGGTGGAACAGGTTGAAGCAAACTATTGACTTATGCTTTATAAAAGTCTAAACAAAATCTATATGCCCTCCTAAAGACTATAAAGTTTCATCCCAAAATGAACAAGGAAGTAACCTACCAGTCAGTATAAATTTCAAACATATTTGAGTTATTCAACGAAATACTAAAGAATGAAAAGTTGCAGAAACAAGAAAAATAGATGAGAATTGGCATTCCATGATGATACAATGGGTAACTTAATCCAAAACAAGTTCTTTTGCAAACTACAAAATGCAATAGACTTAGAAAACCATACTCTGCTAAGGTCATGGTCAATGTCAGCTGCAGTTGTGTGGGTTCTTGTAATTTGTTCACCATGCTGATGTAAGGTGATCAAAGTTTTTGTTGCGTCCTGTCTCATGTCTTCTGCAATCCTCAGGCAGCTGTTAACAGTCTTTGTTGTCTCTTCAGCCTTGTGTACAGCATAGTTTTCCAACTCCTGTACAGTTTGGTTCTCAAATCCTCCAGAGTCCCGGAAGTCATTCTTGTATCTGTTTCTTGCTGTTGAAGTTGCAGAGTAAGCAGATGAATGAGTCCCTTTAATATCATCGTCATCAAAAGGGTTTGTACTCAAATGTGGAGTTATTAGAGAAGGCTCGGACGAAGTTCTCCGTGCAGGTGTTATAGTTTGCTTGCTGTCAGATTCATTGTCAGAGTCAAAAGGATTTGAACTCGAATAACCATGGAATCCAGGATTCGCAGAGTGATTTTTAGCATTCAGATGCAAGGGCGATTTCTTAACCCCGAACATTTTCAATGGGTAAGAGGTGAACTTGCTTCAGTAGGAACTAGGAAGTGTTCGACTAATTAAGGAATGTACCTGGAGAAAGAAGCAAGCGAAAGCTATTAACAGTATGTTTTAACAGCCAAATTAATTAGCAAGAATCAGCTATAACGAGAACATTCACTTGAACATCCTGCTGACCTACATTTAAAGTGAAAGTTCATGTATTCTACCACGATAGTCGATAAGATTGACAATACACTAATAGATCATCAAAAACTGCTGAAAGGATGAACTAGGACTCAAGGCTAAACTTTGTGCAGGAAGAGGAAAAATTTTTCCTTTTTTTTTT